CCAAAAATTATGAAATTTGACCCTAGAAAGTAACCAATTCCAGTTCTTCAATATTACAGGTCAACATCTTAACCAAACCATCCTCAAATCCATCAAAAAAAATTCAATTTGCAATACATCCACTCATATAAAAATTCAATAAATTCTCGTCTATATTTCGATTATCTAAAATATTCACCCCCAGACGCACTTTATGTCCCACTCAAGAAAAAAAGAAACAATCATAAAAGTTATTATTTTATTTTAAATCATCACACAAAACAAAGATACAGCACATAACGAACATATTTTTGTACATTTCATCTTCTACATCACATTATTTTGTGGGCTTTGTTGTGATGATGATGATTTTCAAATTACATTTTTTTTTATCGCTCAATAAATGTATGGATACAAAAAAAATGGTAAAAAATGTGAAATTAGACACACATTATTCTGCTGTGTAGGGAAAATATGTGTGATTATATTGTTGACCGAGATGTGTTGTATAATTTTTGATGTTTGAGAATTGGGTTCTTGATCAGCACACATTGAAATTCGTTGAAATGTTTGCCACCCTGCAGCTGGGTTGATAGTATAATTAGAACCAAGTCATTTCCAACTGGACGTCAAGTGACTGCCGCTATCAACTCAGCTGATGAGTGGCAAATATTTCGACGAATTTCAATTTGTGCCGATCGAGGTTTGGTAATAAAATTGAGTTTGTATGTTTGGTGTTAATTTTTCTTATTTGATGCCTTGACTCTTTAGTTTTGTGCCAACTTAATAAGTCGTAAGTTAAGAACTCACTCTCATCATGCTTAACAACCCGAAATTTCTAGTATATACAAAAACATTTTCAACTTTCCATGACAAATGAGAAAAATGACGAGAAAAATTTTTTTTTATTTTATTGTCATAACATAACAAAGTTTAATGAATCAGAATGTGAGGATGTAAAAATTTTGTGCATGCCACGGCACAAGGGAACGAAGATTAATGCATTTTTATTACTAAAAATGTTGTGTAGCGAAAAACGTTTTAATTTTATTTTTATGTAAAACGATATAAAGTTATAACTGACGATGTTTTTACATAAAGTGCCAACGAGTTGTTGTTATTGTTATTGTTGCAATTCCTGTGTGTTTCACTTTTTCGGGGATTAATGGATGAAGGCACAAAAAGGTCATAAAAATTAAATTTCATCTTTCTTTGTAATTTTTTTTTTTCTATGCGATTTTATGGATTGCAGGAAGGAAAATCTATAAAATGAGGAACTGCCTATTGATATTTAAAAGAAATGAAAGGAATAAGATTGTGAGACAAGGGATGGAACGTTTGAAGATTGAAAACTTTGATTTTTTAACAAAATTGACTTTTTGAATTTTTTAGCGCATTTTATTTCCTCCTCTTCCAGTTTAAGCTTTTTGATGCGGTTTTTGGCTTATAATATGTGTATTGTGTCTGCAAGAGCTGGCCAAAAAATCAGAATGATTGGTGCGTGGAAACTATCCCAAATATCCCATATATCCCAAAAATATTCAAAATAATCGCTGAGCCTGTATGCATTAGAATTGAGAAATCCCATCATATCCTGAAATTATACGTCCAATACACTAAGGATACGTTGGGATATCTTTATTATCGTACATACATGCTCAGGAATTTTTTGAATATTTTTGGGATATGTGAGATAAATATGATATATGGGATAGTTTCCACGCCTTGACGTACGCATATTTTACGCAGCCCTTAAAAAGGTGGGGTCAGGTCGCTGGTTCAAGCCCCACAACGAGGAACTTTTTTTTTGATTCTTTTTTACACTTCTAAAATAAATTCAAATTTTGTAAGTTCTCAAAAGTTACCAACCCTAGACATCTGCGAAAAAAATTCTTTTCCTTTTTTATAGTTTTCATTTTCACTTAAACCGCTTTTATTGGCATTACGTAAATAGAATGGTCCATAAAAATTACTTTTAAGCTCCTTACACCCCTTTTACTTATTTTTATATATATTTATTTCCTCCCAAATATTCCTACAATAGATCATGCATAGAACATAAAAAATTGAAAGAAAAAAGAAATCATTAAAATTGTACATTAAATCACTCAATTTTTTTCTTCTCGCTTTACGCAACAACGCGTTTTGTTACTTCGACCGATAACAAGATTAGCGATTGAAATGTTTTATTTTATGGATGCTTTTTTATGTTTTTTATGGATTTTTTGAATGTTTTCATCATTTTTTGATGATTGATAAGGTGAGAGTTGAAAATATGTTTTTTTTTAATTTTACAAAGGAGGGGTGGAGTTAGGATTTTCTTGGAAAAATTCACAAAAGTCTCAAATCGATACAGCACCAAAAAAAGAAATTAAAAATAATCCCAGATGAGAAATAAATTCTCAAAACTTCATCGATTTAAAAAATATAAATTAATCATTCTCAAAAAATCTCACATGACAGTCCATTGTAAATCCTTTTATATCCAATTTTAAATTCACCAAATATTCGAATTTAGATTTGCCAAATGTTTAACAATTCGTAAAATTTCACACATCCTTATAAGTAGCGTGCAAATATTGACATCATAAATCACATATGAAATGAAAGCACGTATGATGCTCACATGCAAATTATGTGTGTAGCGTATGCATATTTAGATGCTCAACAGCATATAGGCCATATGAAGGGAGAAAGTGACAGCAACAACAAGTGAATAGAAAGGGAGAAATTTTTCTGCAATTCACGCATGAAATTAAAAACGACAGCGAGTCCTTGATTAGCAACAGTCTTCAAAAATATTATTTTTGGTGCTGATTCTTAAGACATTCAAGCATAAAAATGCCAGAAAAGGTTTTATGACTCGCAACAAAGCAACTGCCATTTGGCGATTCCATCCTTAATGTGTGCTAAATGACATAGAATAATCACATTAAAGCTTTCATGAAATAATTAGTTCAGCATACATATGGCAATAAAATAATTCCATTTTCTGATATTCTGCAATTTATTCTTACTGTGTACAATATTTAATTGACTAAATTCTGTTAAAATGGACCAGCGCATGTGTCATTAAAGTTAATAAAACTAATTATTTTTCTCTTTTTTCTTGTTTTTGTTCAATGATTTTTATGATTTAAGACTTGACTTTCTGCTTAATGAGTTTAGTTCTTTTTCTACGATTTGATTAGGGAAATTGCATGCTTTGAACTGTTTATCCTTGGATGGTATTAATAAATGACCTAGTATTTTTAGATAATGAGTAAGATATCCAGCTGTGATTGCAGTTATGCATTTTAGAAAATTATAGTTTATCTAAATTAATGATGGCAACTTTAATATTATGAGTTTATATTACATAAGCTGCTATGGATAGCTGGTTCTCGAGGGCTACCTGGGTAATGCACTAGCGTTACTATAGTCAGAGCCAATATTATTCATAGCACAGAGTGTGGTCCATCGATAAGCTGTTCAAGGGGTTTTTGCCGGTTTTCGGTCAAAAAGCAATACATGTCCCGATTTCAGTTCTGAAAAAGCGGGACAGACCAAATTTTCAAGCATTTTCCAAGAAAAAAAGGGGGCATTAAGGATTTATTGAAACATCTCGAAGTAAGAAGCAAACTTCTAGATGACAAAACCACAGAAAAAAGTATAACTCTGAATAACGTATCCCGAGTGGGACTCGAATCCACGTCCTATGATTTTCGGTCGAATGCTCTTACTACTGAGCTATCGGAGGTTAGACGATTATGTGGCTAGATCCCATATATAAGTTCCACTCTTTTTACTGTTCTCTTGCACCATATGATTTATCGTTGACTAGCTATTACATGGAATTCCATATTCCAACAGGATTAAAGGCAGGACTTTGTTAAAAAAAAGGACTTTCCTGCTCAAAAGTGCGCAATTTGACAGCCTATCCATCGGCTTTTGATTCTAGGGTACTCTGGAATGAGAGTTTTTTCTTATGCTACCCTAGCAATGTGTCATTTCATGATTACTATCTCAATTTTACAATATATTTTATTAAAAAAAGATAAGTTCCTTAAAGTCAACATATCATATTCAACATGTTTAGTACAATCTTCAAATATATTTCATAGAAAAATTTCACTCAAAAAGTCATTAGACGGGAAGAAAGAGAATTTCACAATTTTAATGCATTTTAAACAAATTCTCAAGATAATCGTGAATAAATCTATGAGAAGGATTTCGTCAAGACTTGGACACTTTAAAGTGATGTGTTCGATGTTTAGACATTTCAAACTAGGGACAGCAAGAAGAGTAGGTTTGAGAGGGTTTTCAAAGTTATGCGATCTACAATTTGATCCTTTAGAGCAGTGTTATACAAACTGTGTGCCGTAGAAATTTTTTGGAAATGACTCGAGCCGTATGCTGTGTGCAACTTTGGTCATGTCTTACCCCTCAGGGGTGCCGTGGTTCAAAAAAGTACCAGAGCTACTCTGAAAACTTGTTCCAGGGGCGTTCAAGATACTTCTATTCATCAAAAGTATTTCAGCTTAGCTCAATAATCATTAAGTGCCTACGCCTTGCATTTTGTATATTTTCAAAAAGTTCATCTCTAATAAAATTTAGAATTTTTCACAAAATAGAATTTTTCTATATGTTAAAATGATGATGATAATAATAAGTTTCCGACATCCACCAACACAATAACATTTGCTCATCGTTGAAACTCATTCGAGCATTAACATATGCAGTATAAGAAAAAAAAATTATATTAATAACAATGATAATAATAAGAAGCGAGGAAAAAGAAGAAGCATAACGATGTATGTACTCTGTTGAGAACATGAGAATGTCGAGTGAACTTATCAGAACGCATAAAAAATATTTTATTGCTTCTTCTCGCTAGTTTTTCTCCTTTGTGACTTTCGTGATGATGCGGAGCACATAATATTATTTTCATATAATTTCTAGAGTGGGGAAAAGAAGCTTGGAACTGCTGCTGATGCAGTTTGAGATGCTTTTGTGAATAGATTTTAAAATTGTATTTTTTGGGAGCATAGACTTGGCATGAAATGGAGCCTTAACTCAAATAATTTATTTTAAATCAAATTCCTCACAAATAAAATTATCACAATTAAAATTCCTACAAATTTCTCGAACAAAATATTATTTCCACTTCCGATGACGCTCTCAATCCATGGAAGGAAACTTGTAACTCTCGCAAATGCTACAGGAACTTCAATACCACAATCTTCAGCTCCAAAACTCACAACTCCAATAATAACTGTTCGATTTAGATCTATTTGTGTTGTCAGTGGACCTCCTGAGTCTCCAGGACATGGAGATCTTCCACCAATTGTAGAAACACACAAATTTGATGACAAAATTGCATTTCCAAAAACTTGTGAGCATTCCTGATTGGATATGACTGGAACTTTTATAAATCTGAGGACTTCTGATGGTGGCATTCTAAAACCTGTTGCTCCAAATCCACTTACAGTTGACATTCTTCCTGTTAAATCAATTTGTGAATCAATAATTGTTGGAAGTGAAATTACGTCAACAAAAGTGTGATCAAGAAGTGATGGAGTTGCTGTTCTTAATCGAATAAGTCCAATATCATTTGAAATTGTTGTTGGATTGAACTGTGGATGTGGAATAAGATCTCGTGAGTGAGATACTGTGATATTAAATACGGATGGTCCTGAAATTCTATTTATGGTGCCAACAATCACTTGAATGCTATTGAATCCCTCAATGCAGTGAGCTGCCTAGAATATAAAGTTTTTATTGCTTATTAAATTTGGAAATGCTTATTAATACTCACTGTTAAAACCCAATTGTACTTAATGAGAGCTCCTCCACACACAAACATTCCTTGACGAGATCTCATATGTAGCGCAACTGTATAAGGAAACTGTCCAAATTGAGAGATTTCACCGCCAACGATTCTTCTTTCTCGTTCAATATTCGTAAAGTTTGGCTTCATATTTCTAATAGCTTCTTGATATATTGGCAGTTCTATTGGATCTTTGAAGTCTTGTAGCTCAAGTTCGAAGGCATGTTGAGTCACCACAAAATAACTCAGAATCGCAAAGAATATCAGTTGCTTCATTTTTATCCAAATTATCGACAAAGACTGAACTTTTTGTTTGTTGATTATTTTTCATTAATTAAGTGCTGCAAAGCAATTATTGATAGAGTTCATGTTTGGTGTTTTTGGTTAGAGGGGCTAAAGCAGTGTTGTCAAAACTTTGTGCCTCGGCACACTGGTGTACCGTAGAAATTTTTTGTAAATTGTGCCGTGGCTCATTCATTTTCAGGAGCAATCAGTACATAGCGGAACTAGGAAGACTAGGATATTATGTTAACGGCAGAATGTTCTCATGATGTTTAAGCTATCCTGGATGTGTCACACAACATCATTTAAGTATAGTTGGCATCTCTAATCCTGACTACACCACTACTTCATGTCGTCAACAAATCAAAATAATACGAAGCGGCAACTGACTGATAAGATTCCAAAATTTAATTTTAATTATCGATACGTAATTACTATCAAGCTGTAAATTAGTTCATTTATTAATTTTGATCAATTTTACGTATGTAGCTTCACATACGATGACGGGTTTGTTTATCACATTCCAAAAATTACTACACATGTTCTAATTTATCTTATCACGTTTTGTATGATTTTTCCTTGATCATTTAATACACATTAATGCGAAAATACCGGAGATAAGTCAAATCAGTGGTATTTTTGTACTAAAACTTCAGTTAATCGTCGTAACTTGCCTAGAAATGAAGTGTACAATTTTATTCTTACTCGCAATTGCTGTAATTGCTGAGGAAATAGAAAGAGACAGAAGAATTACTGGTGGTTCTCCAGCAGCACGAAATCAGTTCCCATGGCATGCAAGAATTGAGCCATTTAATGGACTTTCAAGAAGATTATGTGGTGGAGCATTAATCAGATTTAATTGGGTATTAACAGCTGGGCAGTGCATTTATGGTGCTAGAGATATAATTGTGAGATTAGGGATTGTAAATATCATAGAAGGCGGTGCCACTTCCTTTTTAATCAGTAACGCTAACCACATCATCACTTACCCAAATTATAATGGAGATTATGAGCACTCCATTTTTGAAAATGACATTGGATTGATCTTTGTTCAAGGAGCAACAGAAAATATTTTAGGCAGCAGAATCAACATAATTCGACTTCCAAATGCAAACGCAAACTTCACAGATCATTTTGGATTAGTAACTGGATTTGGATTCGTGGGAGATAATGATAATGCTATACAATCAATGGAGCTTCGATTTGCAATCATGCCAATTACTACTCGTGAGTCATGTGTACAGCAACATGGAACTTCAGTTATTACTGACAATCACATTTGTGCTAACTCATTTGGTGGATCATCAACATGTTTGGGAGATGAAGGAGCTCCTTTGATTACATATGTAAATTTAAGTCCAGTCCTTGTTGCCATTGGAAGTACACCATTAAGGCTTTGTACACAAGAATATCCTGCAATTTTCACAAGTGTTGTGCGTTATCTTAATTGGATTAATAGTGTGATTTTGGTTGTGCCTTTTTAATTTGTGCTTCTGATACTTTAATCTTATTGGGTGTATGACGTCATTTGTGAATGACCCCAAGTGTTAATTCATCAGTTTTGTCACAATAAAAATTCTTCAAAAAACGAGAAATATTTTTGAGATTTTTTATTAAAATTTTAAAACTTTATTTTTTAAATGTTTGATTTTAGAAGTATTTAAATTTTCCTCTGACTCATCTCAACACCACTCTTCATCCATCTCACATTTCGCCGACATCCAAAGTGCTAAGTTTTGTGTCTTTTCTGAGAAACTTCCTAAATTCTCATTGTCAACGCTAGCTGCTGATGGAAAAATTCTCGCAAATTCACCACGTCTGTTATGTTCTCGATAGAATCTCTTCAAATATTCACGTACGTCTTCTGACATGCAAGGTAAGCACAGATAACAAGACTCAGATTCACATTTGTCGTCACATCCACTGCATGCTTCAATGTCGATGGCGATGTTTTGTGACGATGAAAACATTTGTGAGGATCTGGAAAGCATTAATAATATTAGGTCAGCATGTAGACATATGATGAGGTTCTTAGTCAAGTATATAGGTCTTAGGTTTTGAAGCCGGTTTCTCGTGTACCAAAGAACTACTCTACCTAATACTCACCTCAAATCATCCTTCAACTCCACAAACCCTTCAGCACCAATCAACCTCAATGTATTATAAATAACCTGCTCATAATGTATTCCATTCCTTTCATACTCCTCTTTTGATGGTGTCATATTCGGACTCATATTGATTTCCATCAAATAAACATTGAGCTGGTCGTCAATCATAAAATCGAACCTGAATAATTCAAAGAAATTTTCATTCGTGCATTTAAATAATTTGCACTCATTTTGTGTGGCTGCAACAATATTATTAATTTTTGATGTTATAGCTGTGACAATTGCGTCGTCAAATTTCTTGAATAGAGCTTCAACATCATGTCCATTTTTGTTTAAATAATTTTTGAAAATATCTAAATTATGGAAATCAAATTGAACTTCAAGATGCTGAAAAGTTTTCATATCCCAAGCGTGCTTTTTGTTGCCTGCAATCACATACTTTTTGAGATTTTTCGGATCAAATGGATGGTATGGTTCAGAACAGAATCGAAAAAGACATTCTGGTTTATATCTGTAGAAGACTAATGGATCAATTGATGTGATGAGGACGTACATTCCGATGTCGAAAGCGTGTCCATCGATTAGAAGTGGATTATCAAGGAAGACTTGAAGGAATCTGTAATAATTGTAAATTCTTTCAAATAAATTGGTGTACAGTTGGAGGAGCCTCGTCAATAGGTATAGTTTGAAGCTTTTAAATGTCTCTAATGAAGCTTGAGCCTTCATATCTTTGCCATTTAATCAATTGAATTCCAATCATCTACTTACTTATTTTCTCGACTAAATCCTTGTTGAATGACACTTTTAGGCACTAACTGAACTCCTCTATTGTCATAATTTTTCTCAACAAATCTTGCTTCTGGATGTTCTTCAATAAATCTTTTGAATCTTTTCTCATCCTTTGGAAATGAGAAAGCTGGTAAAATATACTCAGACTCCAAAGTCGTGACCAGTGCCAGCTTATTACCAATAAACGGTGTTCCGGGAAAATGATTTATCCTCTGGTTAGGCTTGATTGTTGAGTTGGTGATTTTTTCAGGAAATGAATCGAATGGAAACTCAATAGACCACATGATGTCCCTAGAAATTTAGCATGAAGTCATTACATCTAAAATAAAATTTCATTGCAAAAACTCACCAATGCTCTTCACTTCCATTAACCATTCTGAATCCCATTCTATCAAAAACCCGCTTCATTGACCTTAGATTGTCATTTTTATTCCATTGATCAAGAACTACAGGCCAGTATGTGAATTTTCTAGTATCTTCACAGTTCCTTGCTGCTTCACAATTTTTACGTTCAATTAATGTTTCAAAAATATTGATCCTAAAATACCAAAGTGATGCCACAATGACAGCGACAAAGGAAGTTAAAAACAGTTTCATATCGACACCTGGTAGCTTATGACTTAATAATAGCTCAATTGAAATGAAGTAAAATGTGAAAATGAAGTAAAGTGTGAAAATAAAGTGTCAGCTATGAATATTTGAAAACCAAAATCGTGATGTCAGAACAAAGTTGCATAATTTTGCTGTTTCTAAAACTAAGCGGTTAACAGTGTCACGATTTTATTGATTTTGAGCTTCAAACTGTTTTAAATAACTAAAGGCATTAAGTGCATCATTAATGTTCTCATAGCTAGTCGATCAGCTGTGAAATTGCAGCAAAGGCTATGCGCACCAGCATAGCCAGCACAGAAACCAAGGCGCAATCTAATACATAGACTTCCATTGCCTTCATTCATCTACAACGAAGCATCTTTAATGACAACATAATCCCATTACACAGCAGGATATCTGTAAACTGAGATTCTTTCAGAAAAATCAAATTTATTGTTTCATGAATTTTAAGGATTTCTATTGCGAAAACCTTTACTGTATTGCTGCGCACCGCAATTAATTAAAATTTATTCTTCTATAAAATAAAATACGCAAAAGATATTTTGTTGATGCCTCACACAGAAAGAATTTGTGACGCAGCAAAAGTTGGCAACAGATGTTCAACCTCAAGTAACTGTGAACAGTAAATCATTATTTTCGTGGTTTCCGCAAAAAACACGACGTGTTTCTTTATTAATTGAAAATTATTCTTTCGTTAAGGAAATTGCTTTTTAAATTAAATGGTAATGAAAAATATTGTTTAGTGCTGGATGCTTGGAAGTGATCCTTTTGTTACAAGACAATGGAAATTTATTATTGAAATTTAATGTAGGTTTATTAAAATTTATATTGTGATAGGTTCGTAAAATAAAATTTATGATTAAATATTGCGAATGGTCATGATGATGTGCGTATAATTCATGATGTTAGAGCTACAATTCTTATACTGGGGGTCCTCGATTTGAGTAGGTGTTTTGTTCCAGAAAAATCCTATTCAAATCGAATCTACTCAAATCGAGGAGCCATAGTAATAAATTGACGATACTTTGTGCGTCTTTGTGCGTCTTTGTGCATTTTGTGTCATTTTTCACACGTTTTAGTTTTAAATAATTAATAAAGCTGCGACAAGGGTGTCATTTTGAAAAGTATCTACATGCATTAAGTAGATTTTAAATATTTACGAATGCTGCTCCAAAACTAGGACAGGCTCTCATACAGCACGACAAAAAAAGAAAGCTAGTAAAGCTTCCGCGACTTTTTCATTTAAGTTGCTCTGGAAAATAACCCCTCGAGTAGCACAAGTCGGTTAATCCATTAAAATCCGGCGTCAAGCTAAGATGACTCTGGCTTGGTGCTGGCTTTGATTTAAATACATCACCATGTCAGAGTCACACCGGCTTGGTGCTAGGTTCTTAATCGAAATACCGACTTGTGCTTTTCAAGTCCTGGTGTAATCTGTAAGGATGATTAACATATCCAACAAGTTACACCATAACCAGACTGAGATGCTTAATTATAAGCAGCTGTGGATACTTAACAGTTCTTCAATTGTCATCGACTATTTAAAATAAGCATTGCGTTTGATCGCATCAAGTTCTACACGCATCAGTGCATTGCTCATTGTAGTTTTGAACGTCAAAAAGAACGGAAGTAAATCAAAATGGAAAGCTTCACAAATAGAATTGAAAAAGGTTTTCAAAATTTAAAGAATTTGTTTAAGTGCAATGTTAAGCAACAAACTAAATACAACAACATTTTGTACGAAGAATTCTTTCGGTGTGAAAAAACAGCGCAAATTTTAGGCTTTAAATTCCTAAAAAGCCATAAGTCTTTGACTAATACGTGGATAAGGGCTAATAATATAGCATTTGAAGTTGCGATAATTATTCTTTTAATGGTTGAAATAGTTTCATTCGTCATGTCAATTCGGAGGAAGCTATTCCTCACATCCATAGACAATGCTTTGTTTTATGGAGGATTTTTCGTGGTTGCAGTAAAAATTTACTTAATTTTTTATCGAAATCGTGCGAAATTGGACCAAATTATTGAGAAATTAGATGAACATTTTCCTCATCATGGAGTCGATCAGCATACATTTAAGGCTCAAAAATACTTGAATACATTAAAAAGATTTGAAGCAATTTACTACGTCATTTTTTTGACTACTGGCTTGCAATTTTGGATGATGCCATACTTGCATCAACTTTATGGAACTATAAATTCTATAAATGTTGACTGGATGACGGTTTATGCCTTAACATTGCCATTTAATCAACTCCAGCCAGTTGTGTATGAAGTGATGTGGATGCTCGAAGGTTGGATTTTTATGTGCACAATTTTTTACATCATCTGCACTGATTTGTTGTTTGCCAGCTTATGTGAAATTCTTGCAATGGAGTTTGACATTTTGGGGCAGGCTATCCGTAAAATTGACATGAATGAAAGAGAGAATGACGCAATTATGAAGCTCAAAAAACTTGTTGGCATCCATCAAGAACTTATTGAAGTTTCTAAGAAATTGGATGAAATTTTCTCACCGCTGCTACTCATCAACATTTTCGGATCGATCACAACATTGTGCACTGCTGGTTTCTTACTTGCTGTAAGGTTAAATTATCTTGATAATGAATTAAGGATCATTAAATTAAGAAGTCAATCAGTTTTTGAGGGGATTTAAGTTTTTGTGAAATTCATACGACGCGATATATTAAAATTAATATTTATTCTAAATTTTACAGTCAGGAATCAACGGATATTTCGTTGCAAAATATTTCATATTTCCACTGTGCCTGACTATGCAAATATTCTCACATTGCCATTTCTCACAGCATTTGATTGAGTAAGTTGATTATTTCATATAAAGATTTATGTCCCAATTCTGTTTTACAAAATAAGTTCATCAACATCAATCGCTACATCAGCTTACAACTCAGATTGGTTCAAAGGCAATGTTGAATTTCGTCGATTGATTCTTCAAGTTATGACGAGAGCTCAAAATGCTCAAAAAATAACAGGATGGAAGTTCTTTGATGTTTCTTTGGAGACATTTCAATGGGTAAACATTATTTTTGGTATAAGTCATTCACTTACTATTAAGCGAAAGGCTAAGATTTATTAAATTTATCTTAAGTAATAAGTGAACGAGCCACATCTGAATACAAAATATTAATTGTTTTTAATCAACAGATCATTTCTACATCGTATACGTATTTTTCTGTCCTTCAAGGAACGTATGGAGAGTAAAGCTTCTTCAGCTTCTGGACTTGTTCATTAATATTATTAAAATCAGTTCAAAAGACATCATTTAAATATTTAGAAGACAGATGTAATAATTCTTATAAAAATGAAGCTAAAAGCAACATGATTTTAATTAAAATTCAACAACATTTGTGTCCAACTGGCAATGGTTTTGAACACTAGCTAGTGTTTAGTGCACAAACTTATAAAGCGCATTTGAAAAGACTTTCAATGGCTCATTTCTTCCATTTCACATCACATTTTCTTTAATGCTAATTTATCGTTAAATCTACTGCGACATAAACTCTCTTAATGAAGAATGGAAGCTTCTTATTTACCTAAAATTGCCGAACGATCAGTTTCAATTGTGTATGTGTTGATGTATTTATTGGAAGCATGGATTCGTGTAGGAACATAAATTTATGTTATCAGCACTAATCTGATGTTCTAGGATGAGTTCTAGATGCACTCATGTAGCGTGATAAACAATAAAAAGTTTGCTTATTTATTCCCACATTTTCTGTACCTAAAACCTTCTTTTTTGACGATCTGTGATGTCACATTCAATCAGGATTAACGCTGATAATCTTATTTTTTCCATTCACTGCCATTTTTTCCTCATTATGTGCTTAATTGTTAAAATGTCAAAAATAATTTTTAATCGTATGCTTGACACCAAGAAATCTATTGTTTATGAGTCTGTATGCAAACATCATTGATAATTGCCTTGCCATTCTCAATTTCATTTCATTTGAATTTAAACAATAGCGCTAATTCGAGGGGTGATATTCATCGCCTTTTATTGTGTGTGATTGTTTATCGCCCACTGATTTCTGCATCGAGAAAATTTAAATTAAAATGTTAAAAAGACTTTTTAATTGAAAATGTATTTTATTCTTTTTCCAGCGACTGTCAAATGCCTTGAGGAGATTTCAACGCTGGTATTTTATTCTAATTCCTATTTTATTGAAATGACAATCGTAATTAATTAGGAAATTGAAATGGAAAGTGAATTTTAATTGAAAGATTTAAATTAGAAGATTGTTTAAAATATTTAAGATAAAATTTACAACTTTTAGGGCATTTAAAGTTTGCGGTCTTACCTTGCTACATAAACCCCTCAATCTTCTTGATTTTAAATTGAAAAAAAAAATATTTGAATGTTTTTTAAAAAACTAAATTTAAACCCTTTATTGAAAATCAACAGGAGTTCATGCCAGCATCATTACCAAAAACATCATCATAAAGATAATCTCAAAAAATAGAAAATAAATCTGTTGATTTAAAAGACATTTTACAGTCACAAAAAATACATTAGGTCCTTAAAAATGAAAAATGAACTTCCACAAAAAATAATCCTTTCCAATTTCGCATCAAAAATATTTCATATTTTTAATAAAAACTCTTTCAACTTTAAAGAATATCAAACTTAAAAAGATTCAAAATTTCCAATAAATATTCCGCAACATCATTAATCAAATAAGGAAGCAGGCGCGTATCCGCATAAAAAAAACTAGAGAGGATGATAATCCCATTTATAAAATATGCACACATGTAAAAGGGAATCGATTTCACGCCTATTTATTACTCTATCATGAATCTATCTCATCAAATATGTACTCGCGTGCGCGCTTATATGGCGTAACAATACGCAACAAATAAATAAATTAAATCCATGAATGGAAACATCTAAAAGTAGGTGATTAAGTTGTCAAGTCCTTGGGGATATGTGATTTAAACGCATTTTTAGGTTATCATTGAAGTTATTCAAGTAAATGGAGAACTGACTGAACTGAGACTGAACTGAGACTGAACTGAGACTGAACTGAGACTTAACTGAGACTCAACTGAGGCTCAACTGAAACTGAACTGAGAATGAACTGAGACTGAGCTGGGACTGAACTGAGACTGAACAAAGACTGAACTGAGACTGAACTGAGACTGAACTGAGACTGAACTAATGCTGAACTGAGACTGAACTGACTGAACTGAGACTGAACTGAGACTAAACCAGGGGCGTAGCCAGAGGGGGGCCCGGGCCCCCCCTACGAAAATCTGATAATTGTTTTATTAAGTATTTATAGAGAAGAACCAGTTAATGTAGAGGAAGTGATGAAAAAAATGTCAAAATCAGCACGAAAAATTAAATTTAATGTATGAATAATGAATTAAATATTTAAACTTATGAAGAATGAATATAGATTTAAGGATACAAAATAACGGTTTTTTAATTTTCGAAAATGCCCCCCCCCCCCCCCCCCCCTTAAAAATTTTCTGGCTACGCCCCTGGACTTAACTGAGACTGAACTGAAACTGAACTGAGACTGAACTGAGACTGAACTAAGACTGAACTGAGACTGAACTGACTGACAGTCGACAAAGTTGGGAAATGAGCATTTCCTCACGAAAATAAATCCGTTAAAAATATCATCATAAATCTTTCGAGCAGACGAGGCAGAAAAACTACGAGAAAAATTGTAAGAAATATATTCCAAAAAAGTTTTTACATTAGAATTAAAATAGAAACGAGAGGAAAAACCTCCTTGAAAGATTGACATTCTAAAGTTAATGCGAAATGATACGCAGAATAATTTTTTTTCCCTTCCCTTTCCACAACTCATTCCACACATCCTGTCACGATATGTATGTGGAAAATAACTTATTTGCACCCTCATCACTGCTTATTGTACACAATTCTTCTATTTTTTTGTGACTGTAAAAATAGTTTGAAGTCTTCGCAATTTTCATGCTAATGGAAAAAAAAATTAATCCGACAATGATTTTCAAGATTTCTTTTTTTTTCACTTCTTTCACATCAGAATCGCATATGTGAGCTTGTACTTATAATTTATGTATTTAACTATCTTGAAATCCATTATAAATTTAATTCCCTTGATACTCTTGATGTTTTTAAACTCTTTACCTTTTTAAAATGTTTAAAATTTCATGGCAGCTTCTAAAATGTTTCTGAATTATTGAGTGATTTTTTAGCTGTATTTTCTTTGTGACATGAACTGTTTGGCTACACATTTAGAGTTCTTTTGAAAGGAGTAAGGTTGTATCATTGTCAAAGTTAGTTTATTGAGCTAATGCTAGTCTATTCTGCTCATCTTAAGAAATCGAAGCAGTGCTAAATCTGTAATGTCTGAAAATGGGAATCGACGACCTCAAAAGAGGCAATCTTTGCCACTCGACCACCGAGGTATTTATCTCACTTTAGGCTATCCGTCATACACATAAAACAAGTTCAACGAAACCCTTTTGCTCAGGCCTATCTACTACAGCTATGCTCTTTGAGCCATATCCACAAGGACCAGCTATTAGAGCTACCTTAGATAGGCTTTCCATATCATAGTCAAATCCGATTCAAAGTTCAGTTCCCTAGCGAGACTAACTAGCAAATTGCTAGTCTTTCTATTTTACTACTTGCAATTTACTAGTAATTATTAAAACAACTTACTGTTAGAAAATTACACTTGCTATTTACTAGCAAATTACTAGCAAATTACCATGTAAAATGTTTGATTAAATCTTCTTAAGTTCGAATCCTACGAAAAATCATCAAAAAAAGAATTTTTTGCGTCATAAAGAATTTTGTTCTAAATTTGGCATTTGCCATATACTTCACAAGAGCGCGCAGAAATCACCTTTATAAGGTCGATCCAAATTTGTATGTGACATTCAATTAATTATTTATCTTCCTCAGGTTTGCGTGCGAGTCATGGGCGTTCATCACTATTCGACTTAATTAAATTAAGTCTTTTATTTTTTTCATAGTGTTAGTGTACTTAAATTAACTTTAAATAAATACACACTAATACTTTTACAATAATTTACACAAATAAAAAAGATCAAAAGAACACGTGGAAATCAACGGTTATATTCATTTAAGTTCTTTACAAATTTGCTAGTAAATTACTAGTTAAATTGCAAGCGAATTGACTAGTCAAATAGCAAGTGAAAATGCGGGTCTTTGGCGATGATTTGAACTTGGATTTTGACTAGTAAATAGCAAGTAGCAAATGGAAAGTTATCTAGTGAATTACTAGGAAATTACTAGTAAATTTCTGCTAGGGGTTGGTTACGCATCGTTTTACAATCGAAGGATAGAAACTTTAGTGTTCCACTTGAAAATCTCGTTGAAGTTCAAAACGAAAGATCCGGGGAACAGTTTAGTTCCTCTAAAACTTTAAACATCTAGCAATTTATAATACTTTTCATTAAAAATTCAAGCGAGGTTAAAGTTCAATTCACTTTTCGAACATACATGACTCTTCCTGAACTTTTCAACTCATTCTTTTATGCTTGTTCATCATTGACGATATTTAAATGTAGCATCATCGTCTTAAAAGTAAAACATACTTGAGTTGTATTTCATTTGAATATTCATTCCATATCATGCGAATGTTTTTATGCATATTTGTTTTATTTATTTGTTATGGATGGGAGAGGAATTGAAGAACTCATTATATTTAATGAAATGCTGTTTTAAGGGTTCAACTGAGAATGTTAAATGAATATCATTTGTTGGATATCGATTTACATATGTGGATGATACTTCAAATGATCTGTTAAAGATGATTAAATTTGCATGTTTGAAATGAACTAACATACTTATGGAGAGTGGTAATTGAAGGAGATTATTGGTGCAATAATGAAGATGTGATGATGAAGTTAAAGCTATTTTGAGGGTCTAAGCCAGGATTCCTTAGTCCCCTCATTGGCTGTGGCTCTCATTATTTTAATGCTTTGGAATTTAAAAATTGTAAAAAATAATTTTTTGAATTTTTTTCGATAACTTTTAAATAAAATTCTACAAAAAATCCCTCACAAAGCTTTCCAATCCCCTCGACTTCTCAACATAAAAAGACCAATTTACGATATTAAAAAGACCCGCAATTTCTAATGACAACACAGTTTTCATCATCAAAGAACTCAAAAATCCATCAATAAAATTCACAAATTCCTGCCAATTTCTACCTCCTCACATCCTCATTTATTGATGAAATTACAAAAGCAGAAAATAAGTTTTTCCTAGTTTGTTGATGCTGAAAAAAACAGAAACTTCTTTCATTCAAATCAGTAGTGCATAAAAATCAGCATAAAAAAATCCACCAAAATTACACGGCATATAAAAATAAAATCACTAATGGAACTCTTTTGTATTGCGAGGCATGTGTGTGCATATGTGGAATATGTTTTGATCTTTAAGCGGAAGTAACAAGCTATCGTATGCAAATAAAATTTAAATTTTCATTCACTAAACCAATTTTTTTTTGCATGCGAATTGTGAGAAAGTTTGGAAATTTTTGGGTGAGGGGGAAACTAAGGCGCATTTTCGGTAAGAAATTAGTTTAAGTAAAATTAGGTAATTTTTAAGCTTTTCTTAAAAATCCAAAAAAACTTTGAAAATCTTAAAAAGACAAAATGAACTCAAACCTCCTAAAAAATCAGCTATAACTCGCCCAATTCAATAAAACCCATGCGTTCATTTTCCTTACACAAAAAACCAAATTTTTCAGCAATTTCAAATTTCCATAAAACGCTATTTTTATTTCATTAAATTTACATCAGAAAATTTTATTTTCTCGATATATCAAAACACAATTTGGCTGTTCAGAATTGAATTTCTGAGAGCTCACTGACAAAAAAATAATATCCGATGATGATAGGAATGTAAACACACACGAGAGACTCGCATGTAATCAAAATAGAAAAAAATTGTGTATATCCAAGTTAGTCAGTTGGTGAATAAAATGAAAACAAGACAACCCCTTTCGGCACACAATAGATTTTTTTTTTTGCGAATATATTGCACGTTTATTAGATGTGATATTGATGTTGATGCTGATGCTTATTATCGTAAATTAAATCATATCATGATGCTTCATCAGTTGCATGCGTGACGCTTGTTTGTGTTTTTTATGCTGAAAATTTTGTGAATTTTTTTATGTCGCTTGGTATTTTGAAATGGTAAGGGGGGGGGGGGGGTGTAGAGTTGATCAAATTGTCAAAAATAAAATGTACATCTGTTGACTTTATAAGGTGGATTTAGCATTAAATTATGATTCTTCAACAAATTCTTCTTTATTCATAGCTTCAACAGTATTTAAATTCCCAAAATTATTCCTCAAATTCTCAATTTCAACTACCAATTCCTTAATCTTACCATTCAAAATCTCATTTTCCTTCTCTAATCTGCAAATTCTCTCAACTTCATTGCCATTTTCACATGCTATCTCATTTGTATCCTCAATCAATGTCTCAACGACTACTGCTGGTGCTGCAACAGCATCAATTGACCCCTCAGTGCAATTTACACGTAAATTTTCAGCCAAATCTTCCATTTCAAATTGATTTGTGGCTTGCATGCTGATGCAATCATTATCAGTGAAGTCAGCAAACATCAAATTTTCAGAATAATTTATAAAACTTTCAGTCAGGTTCTTAATTTTGTTTTTTGTAAGCCATAAATGTGTCATGTGGGGAGTTGGGTCGAATAAATCTCCAGAAATCTTCTCAAGTTTCCCATTAATGAGTCCAAAAAGTTTTAAATCATTGTAGTTACGCAGCTCATCGCCATCAAGTTGTAAAATGCTGTGATTGCCAATTATTAATGCCCATAAATTTGGGAAAAATATCTCAATTCCCTGGGGTATGAACGTAAGTTGTGTCGCGTTCTGTATTTCCAGTGCAAAGACATCAGAATTATCTTTTTCAGCTTGATGAGTTCCAATAACATCAAATAGAACATTACTTTCAGTCACATTAGAAATTGTAGCCCAGCAGGTGTACTCTTTACCGATTAGCACGAAGTCATTGAATGAATACAAGCAATTAAATGTTATTGCCGATCCAGAAGAAATTGAAAGAATTAAAATTAATAAATAATTCATCACTGCTTACTGCTTTGTGTTCTGTTTGATACTAATGAGTGATATCAAGCTTGAACAGACTTACATCATATGCAAATGTGGTTGTGTAGTGATAAGTTCTTATCAGAATATTATGTTGAGCTTCTAGAATTAGAACAATTAATGCGTTCATTCGTTGTTTTGATTCAAACAAGCTGTATGATTGTCTTTTGGAATTTAATGTATGAACTTTACTGCTTAATCGATTAGTAAGAATTGGAACAGCCGGGTTGATAGTATAATTAGAACCAAGCGGCATCCAATTGGCAACGACATCCATGTGGCAACTCCTTCTAATTATACTATCAATGTGTGCCGATCGGGGATGATTATCACTTTCAAGATCAGTTTTAAGGTTGAATCCAGTCAACCCCCCCCCCCCCTTCCTCCCTAACGTCCCTGGTCAGAACTTATTACGAGTCGAACCAAGGTTGAAGAGGTGTCTTCAATTCACAAGGATCTTGTTTCGCTCCTGAGTCATTGATTTTACCCCTTCACTCCTCAATCAATAGCTCATGCATGTTATAAATATATTCCTACATAAAAATATATCATTTTTACATTTTTACCTGGAATCCGATAATGTTAACACGAATGTATTCCTTGTCCTTGTGATAAAAATGTCTATTCTACTTTTTATTCAGAGTCCAGACTTCAAAGCAAAAGGATTTAATTTTTTCTACTTGTTTATATCTTTTAGAAATTAAGTTAAAACTTTAAAATGTCAAATTACATCTCAAACTTTTATAAATCTACTATTTCAATCTTAATCCTATCAACTTCAGTTTTGAGTAAGATTGCACCACAACCAGTCAGAAAACCTGCAATAGCACAGCCATTAAACGACTTGATTGACAAATTATTTGTGCAAAAAGGAACTCACTTTGACATTATATTGTATGGAGGATATTTTTTTGAAGCCACTGACGTTATTGATGAATTTCCATCATTAACTGGACTGAAATATGCTGAAAAAATTATTGTAACCTCGCCATCATGGAACCATATTATGAGTAAATCAGCCATTTTGTTTTTCCCACATTTAAGATTTTTCATGAAATTCAGCTTACAAGTTAAATTACAGCGTCTTTATCACAATCCATTAAGATTTATAGTTTATTGTGCGAATATGCAAGTCAATGACCTTCAAATGATTTCCAAACCATTTTATCTCAACATGTCACCGGGACAAATTACACTTTATGAATATTTCCTGATTCAATCACAAATTGGACTTGAACTTATAACTTTTGAGTGGTTCACAGAAACAGAATGTAATTATCCTATGATTATTTCAATGAATTTCTTCAATACGAATCTCATGCGATGGAAGAATGAATTGATAATTCCTGAAAAATTTAGAAATTTCCATGGATGCATGCTAACGATTGGGGTTACTGTAGGGCGAATGCATACCGCTTTAGATGAAAAAAATAGACCAGCTGGACCTTCAATTGATCTTTTTAAAGCAATGGCTACGTTGGGAAATTTTACATGGAACTATCAACTTATGGTAAATGATATGTATCGAGGAATGGTTGGAGTACCAAGAAATGGACGCATAATAGACATTCAAATATATTTTCAAGTTCCTAGAGTTGCATTTTCTAGAATCACGGATATCATGCATTTAACAACTCCTTTTATCGAAGAAAGAGTCTCATTTGTTTTGACAGAAGCTGAACCTTATTCATCGTATGAAAAGTTACTACTTCCATTTGATACCTTAACATGGATATTTTGCTTAACAATTTTTTTATGTGCATTTACATGCATTTTTGTGATCAATTTAACTTCGCCAAGCATGCAAAACTTAGTTTACGGACAAAAGGTGACAACACCAGCCTTAAATGTCATTGGTATATATTTTGGATCCTCGCAGATAAAGCTGCCGTTTGAAAATTTTCCAAGAATAATTCTAGTGACATTCATCTTATTCTGTTTGGTACTGAGGACAGCTTATCAAGGAGTTCTATTTGAAATGGTTGCTGGAGACATGAGGAAGCCTTTACCGAAAGTGATTGATGACTTGTATAAAATGAATTACACAATAAGTGTTGGTGAAGATCTGGAAGAGTCTTTAAATGAAACTATATCTTTTGAACGAAGGTAAGTAATTCTCGAATATTTCAGGAAGGGAGTCATGGGAATTGTGTCATTCCTAGAATATTTTTAAATTTATTTTATTTAATGCTCAATTCCTTTCTAAGACCCAACATTCCCGAACATACAATGAGCATGCTCAGAGCACATTATTTGTGAGCCTATTAGCCTTTGTGAGAATGTGCTCATTTTCATACATTTCAGTGATGCGCTTACGGTACCTTCTTGAGCATGCTCAGTGAGCACATTCCTATGTGACATGTATTAAGCTCATTGAGTAAACTCATGAGCATACTCAAATGAGAAGGCAACATGTCACATGCAACATTCTTCTCATGTAACATTTTTATTGAATATACTCATGAACATTCTCAAAAAGTACATACTTATAAATATTCTCAAAGAGTACATACTCATAAACGTACTCAAAGAATATATACTTAGTGAGTATATTTATGAGTATATGCTCATCTGAGCACACTCATGAGTTCACTCAAGTGAAGTTGCAAAATTCAAAAAATTAATTAAGCTAAATTTGAGTATTATAGGTTAGCTGAAATTAAGTACTGTTTCGTTTATTTCTGTGAATAATTTTGAAGGAGTTAGAAATTATTATTAATATTTTATCTGAAATACTAAGAATGAAACATATAAATCTGGTCACCCATCCTTGTTGAAATATCTTCTGCGTTGCTTAACTTCTGTCATCTCACACTTTTCCTTGGAGCTATTGTCTGTAAATATATAATAATTTATATATGGCATAACACATAGTTAAATTATTATATTTTTACAGGCGAACTAAGTTCTTTGAAGTTTGGATCTTATTGAGCACCAATTTTAAAAAATCATTATTTTAACGTTTTCGATTTTGCTGACATTTTTAAAAAACGTCAGCTTCCTTAAAAAATCATTATTTTAACGTTTTCGATTTAGCTGACATTTTTTCAAAAAAGGTACACAATTTGCTCTTGAATAAACTCAGTAAGTGCACTCATATGAGAATATAAAAAAAATTGTGTGACACAGAAGTGAGTTTGCTCATTATATGCTCATGAGTACATTCAGTAAGTGCACTCATATGAGAATATAAAAAAATTATGTCACACAGAAGTGAGTTTGCTCATTAAATGCTCATGAGTACATTCAGTAAGTGCACTCATATGAGAATATAAAAAAAATTGTGTGACACAGAAGTGAGTTTGCTCATTATAAGCTCATGAGTACATTCAGTAAGTGCACTCATATGAGAATATAAAAAAAATTGTGTGACACAGAAGTGAGTTTGCTCATTATATGCTCATGAGTACATTCAGTAAGTGCACTCATATGAGAATATAAAAAAATTATGTCACACAGAAGTGAGTTTGCTCATTAAATGCTCATGAGTACATTCAGTAAGTGCACTCATATGAGAATATAAAAAAAATTGTGTGACACAGAAGTGAGTTTGCTCATTATAAGCTCATGAGTACATTCAGTAAGTGCACTCATATGAGAATATAAAAAAATTATGTCACACAGAAGTGAGTATGTTCTTAATATTCTCATGAGTATATTCAGTAAGTGAACTCATATGAGTGAATTCACATGAGTATGTTCTTAATATTCTCAAGAATATACTTATTGAATGCACTCACGTGAGCTTATAAAGTTTTTGTAAAAAAATAAAGTGAGTACATTCGTAATGAACTCCTGAGCATGCTCAGTTGAATGAGCTTGCATGAGTATAATTTTTAAGTAGACTCACTTATATGCTCACTTTTCTGAGCATGCTCTTTGTATGTTCGGGATTGTAGTAATGGATGTAAGAGAACAAGATATAGCATTAATGCATAACATTTCCGATTCAACATTGAAGATTGCTTATTGCAGTTACCAAAAAATTCTTCGACTTTATCAAAATCATTTTCCAACTTCAGGTGGCTTCTTAAAAGAGGATTTATACTCTTTCATTTCTGGATTTATGATGTTTCATTTTCATTTCTTATTTGAACTTACGGATGTAACAGTTCAAGCTCTAATAACTGGCGGAATAATACAGCACTCATTTGCAATGGAAGAGTTTTCAATGAATCATGCAATTTATGCTGAATCAATAACTGTTCTTAATACAAAGCAGAAGCCAAAAGTGTTGACAGTGGACGATCTTTCATATGGATTTACATTGTGGCTAGTTGCTCTTATGATTACGTTAATTGTGTTTCTTTTGGAATTAACAGCCTTTCATTTGGGAATGAGAAGCTATAAAATATTGCGTCATCGAGTTTGTAAGAAAGTTTAGAGAATAAATTGACTCAAAAGCATGTAAAGCATTAAAGTACGAATTTGAAGTATTTGGCAATTTTCTTGGTCCTAATTCGATATACTTATTTGGTCCGAATCCTACCTTTTGAAAATTTGTGATTGTTTTGTTAAGATATTTTAGCTGTTGAATCCACGGGATCAAGGAAATTTGAAGTGTCTAGGCCACGTTAAATTAAGGAACGCTACAGAAACATTAATTGTAACGGCAAAAATAAGAACTGGAGCTTAAAAATTGTACATCAACTTAAATAATGATAGAACAGACCTGAAAGGATCATTTTGTATCTGCAATAATACCTCTGCTGGATTCTAGAGCTCTTTAGGCATCTTCCTCAAGAAATTATCAATTTTAATATTCAATTTATTCATTTTCACTACTATATCAAGCTGTAAACTAAGACACTAACAATAAACTTAAACTCTATATACATTATACCTTAACGAGAATCTTGAAATTATAAAGACACCAATTAAATCTTTTAGACGATCAATTGGATGTAATTTCAGATAAAACCCGGTCAGTTCCAGCATAAATGCAATACCAGAAATGATACAAGCAAACATCCACAAAGTAAATCCATAAGATAGACCATCAAGTGTCAAAATTTCCACATCAACAAGTTTTAATGGCATTGAAATTGAGAATAACTTAAGATGAACTTCAAACTGCAGCATTTCAAAAGAGTGTTGAAAGATGCCAGCAGCAAGTAGGAGTTGTAAAGTTTCATCGACTAGTTCATATAGGAAGTTGAACTGTGGAAGGATGATTCCACCCAATGATGAGTAAAGTTGTTCATTTAAAAATCCACCAGAACATGGAAAATGTCGGTCGTAGGTCTTTAAATAGTCATCATAGAAGCAAAAGGAAGTTTTATCTTGAAGCCTCGACTTTCTTGCAATAAGAAGTGCTGTGAAATTAAGCATGTCAATTTGATGAACACTTGTTCTGCAAAATAGAATTAATAAATTTTAGAAAATTTAAATAAGCTGAAAAATTCACGTCAGTTTCTCAGGAAACAAGTCTTCAATGAAGGAAATCGCATCACATAGAAGTATCTTGTAGTCCATATCATGCAAATCATCCAATGTCTTTGGCAGTGGCTTCCTCAAATCACCAGCAATCATCTCAAATAGAACTCCTTGATAAGCGGTTCGTAGCACCAAACAGAACATGATGAATGTCACGAGAATTATTCTTGGAAAGTTCCGAAATGGCAACTTAGTCTGTGAGATTCCGAAGAATATTGCTACGACATTTAAAGATGGTGTGTCAACATCTTTGCCAAAGATTAATTCTTGGACTTTCGATGAGATGATGCCAAAAACAAGAATGCATGAAAATGCACACACAAATACAATAATCAAGAATGTCCAAGTCAATGTATCAAATGGAAGTGACAATTTCTCAAATGACGAGTAAGGCTGTGACTCAGTCAATGCAAATGAGATTTTCTGTTCGTGGAATAAAGTCGTGAAGTGATAAGTCTCTGGAGCATAATTTGAGAAGATGAAAGGTGCAATTTGGAAGTGAATTTGAGGCGTAAGAATCGTGTTGTTTTCTGGTTGAAGAGACTTAGTTCCATCATAGCTTGTTGTCACAATTTGATAATTGTATGTGAAATTAGCTCTGCTTCCCATTGCCTTAAATAAATCAATTAATGGACCTTTTGGCTTTCCATCACTATCAATATCCGTGTACATTATATTCGACTCTGCAATTGACACTAGCATGCAATTATGGAAGTTTCTAAATTTTTTAATTTTCCAGCTTTTCATCCATTTCAATCAAGAAATACTGATAGTTGGATATATGCCCTTCATAAATTCCCATAACTTGACTTTTTATCAACTTCTCAAAATCACAACGCCCCATTTTTTCACAGTAGATTAAAAACTTTACTGGATTATAGAACTGACTTGTCAAATTGACCATTGAATTAAGAAGTAGTAAGTTCTGCAGTTGTGAGATGAAGAAGACTGCCGACTTATTCAGCTTATGATCCCAAGATGTCGGTTCAATATATTGAATTTTTTCTGCAAATTTTCCATTATTCTTGCTCAGTACTTGATTCACAATATCAATAGTTTGAGTAGATCGGCGTCCATAAATGATTAAATCAAAATGAATATTGTTCTTGGCAAACATCATGTCTATCGTTTCTATAAGTGAGCTTGAAATAGTTCGGCATATCACATATTTGACAATAATTGGAAGAACTAGCCAAAATTGCTTCATTTTCATGAACAGCATTCAATAAATTTATTTTGTGTATCTTCAACTTTTCTGGCTAAATCTTATGTTTGCCTTAACTGAGGCTTCTATGTTCAAAAATTTGATTTCAGTCTTATTTAAACTTTACTAGCTTATCTTTAAGTTAATCTAATTATTTTAATTACTAAGACAAATATTTCAATTAAGGAAGTTTACACGTAGTCATGTAGATTTAATCGGAACTTCTGTTTCCTTGAATTTGTCAAAAAAATGTCAAAAGGTTTTTGTACAAAGGCGTAGCTAGAATGACAAAAAAGGTAAAGCATTGAGAGGGCCTAGTCTTATGAGCTGAAGACACTGCGATTCAAATTAGAATAGAATCTATTGTGCCACATCCTTTAGACCTATAGTTTAAGGTGAAATCCGAACCACTTGCCAGCTCTGCGCATTGCAATTTATGTAATGAAATCATCCAGATGCTAGTATATCCTTGTATACCTAGCAAAGGAGACACGTTTTGTGCCGAAGACCTCAAAACTACACCCAACACACGAACCGAGCTTCTTAACTAGAACTGTGAAATGAAAAAAGTAGCTTCTTAAACTTGACTTGGCCTGGGATTGAACCCACAACCTTTGGCACGTAAGGTCAATCATTTAGGCGATTCATACCATTTCACCGCTTCCCTGATTTGCCAAGTTTGGTATTTTAAATAGTTGACAACCTTCCAAAATAATTCAACTTCACTAGAAACATTAAAGAATATATTTTTTTTTCTCATAAATTTGTAAAAACTAAAGACGTGGGTTCATAAATGTCAATCGTGACTTCATAGTAAAAAATATTGACCTAATCAGAAATGTCCATTCTGATCAGCTATTAAAACATTTTTGACATTACCAAAAAATGTCGATAATTTTAATGGAACTAAGTTTGTTCTACGAATGACAATAAAAATAATTTTAATATTTTTACTAAGCGTCTGTGAATAGAGAAGTAGGAAAGCTTCAAGTGAGTTTTAATTCCAAAACTAAGGAACCATAAAATGAGCTCGTGTCAAATTATCATCATGGTTTTAAGCATTCCGAGTTGTATTGTTTGTAAAATAGCTCCCGAGCAAGAACCAAAGCCTGTCATTTCACAGCCGGTAGTTGACATAATTGATGCTTTATTCGTAAAAAATGATATTCCCTTTGACATAATAATCTATGGAGGATTTTCGGACCAAACTTTGGATATTTTTGACCAACTTCCTAGCTTAGCTGGAATGAAGTATGCTGTTAATATATGGCAGATTATTCATCCATGGGACCACATCTTGAATAAATCAGCTGTAATATTCTTTCCACACATCACTTTTTTCAGAAAATTCAGCTTACAAATGAAGTTATAGAGCTATTACTATAATCCGATAAGATTTTTAATTTTTTGTGAGTTTATGCAAATAAGTGACCTTCAATTGGTCTATAAGCCTTTATATCGCATTGTATCAATATTTCCTGATTCGTTCACAAAATGGACTAGAACTTGTGACCTTTGAGTGGTATACCGATAAAGTTTGTAATGTGCCGATGATTATTCCAATTAATACTTTCGATACAAACCTCATGAAATGGAAAAACGAATTAAAAATTCCTGGAAAATTTAGACAATTTTATGGATGCATGCTTACAATTGGAGTTGCTGTTGGGCGTATGCATGTAGACTTGGATGTATCGAACAATCTAGTTGGACCACCAATAGATCTTTTTAAGGCAATGGCTTCAGTCGGAAATTTTACAATTAATCATCAGCATATCCAAAAGCCAGATGGGTTGTGTATGCAGCCAATTGCACAAAATGGACAAACATTGGATATTCAAGTGTACTTTCAGATGCCAAGAGTTGCATTTTCTAGATTTACAGATGTAATGCATTTAACTACTGTCTTTCTTGGGGAAAGTGTCACATTTCTTTTAACAGAACCAGAAGCTTATTCATCATATGAGAAGCTTGTACTGCCTTTTGATACTCTTACATGGATCTTCTCAATCGCTGTTTTCTTGGGTGCATTTGTGTGCATTTTTATAATCAATCTGATTTCACCAACAATGCAAAATTTATTTTATGGTGAGCATGTGACGTCACCAGCCTTAAACGTCATTGGAATCTATTTTGGATCCTCGCAGATATCGCTTCCATTTCGAAACTTTCCAAGAATTATTCTAGTGACATTCATCATGTTCTGTTTAGTGCTAAGGACAGCTTATCAAGGAGTTCTGTTTGAAATGGTTGCTGGTGATATTCGAAAGCCATTGCCAAAAACAGTCGATGACTTGTATAAAATGAATTACACAATTACTATTGGGGACGATCTTGAGGAGTCTATGGAAGAAACTATTCCTGAAGATAGGAGGTACAGCTTATTTTAGACTAGACAAATAAATTTGTTAAATAATTTTTCAGACCGAATGTTATTGTGATGAACATCGCTGACCAAGAGATAGAAATAATGCATAACATCTCAAACTCAGCATTAAAATTTGCTCATTGCAGTTACGAGAAAATGCTTCAATGTTATCAAAACCACTTTCCCGAATCTGGTGGCTTCTTAAAAGAGCATCTCTATTCCTTCATCACTGGTTTCATGCTTTACCATTTTCATTTTTTATTTGAATTAACTGATGAGACAGTTCAAGCTCTACTGACAGGTGGAATACTGCAGCATTCCTTTGAAATGGAAGACTTTAAAGCTAATCATGAAGTTCATTCAATGGCGATGAATATCCGCAGTATGACTGAAAAATCAAAAGTAATGACGATGGACGATCTTTCGTATGGATTTACGTTGTGGATGTTTTCTTGTTTGATAACATTTATTGTGTTTCTAGTAGAAATGACAACATTTTATTTGGGATTTGGACCATTTATTTATTATTTTAAATGTTTTGTGAATTTGGTGGTTTTGAAAATTTGTACCAATAGGATTCGTTAGTTTAAGGAACTACAAAATCAGCTTAGTGCTGCTGCGGTCCTTACAAGCCTTTTAAGATTTAACGGAAATCTCAGGATCGGAAAATAGGCGGTATACCGTCAAATACTTCCAACATCCATACAAATACCTCCAAATACCCCAAAATACCCTCAAATACCGTCTCTTTATATTAAATACCTCCAAATAACGCCTAGTTTCCAAGCCTGGTGAAAATCTTAAAAACAAAATGTATCAGGAAAATAATTTCGGACCCTTTTGATTGATTGCACAGTCCACTAACCTTTAGATTTCAGACCTCCTCCTATCAAGTGATGTCCCGTGCAATCTTTGATTTTTGTTTTCATCATGCAACTTTCCTTCAATCATCCCATGAATACTAAAAGATTTATATTTTCTTTTAAAAAACGAGAGCATGCATCATCAACAAGACATGAGGATAATCTCATGGGAACATTTTTCCTACATCCATTCACTGGCATATCACAATAGTTTCTCAATTCTTCTTCTCACTTAAACTCGTGACATGACTTGACACATTTATATAGAAAATGATGGTGCAATAAACCTTAACTCGAACTTGTTGAAAAAAAGAAGGAAAATGAAAGTTGTTTAACATGTGAAAATTGGAATTAAATGATCGATTACATTTTCTTAGAGATTTGAGAATTGAGATTTAATGACATGTTGGGTAAAATAAATAGATGTGTTGCATATAGGGAATATAATGATGACGATGAAAATGGGAATGATGGCAAACAAGGAGGAGTGATGAGGATGATTATGAAGATTTTTCATGATATGATGCAAATATCCAATTATAGGGATGATATGTGAGAATTTTTATGGTGTTTTAATATTTTTTTTTTTCTGAGGAATTAATGAAGTATTTTGATGATTTTATGGAGAGGAGGGGGGCAGGCTGCAATGAGCTGAATTAAATTTAACATTCAGACAAATTTGTACTGAAATAAAAAATTCCCATCGAAAAAGCTACAAAACCAACCCCTAATTTGAATTTCAATTTCCCATCCTCAACTTTAATTCATAAGTATCCATAAAAAGCCATAAAAAGTCCGCCTAGATATAAAAACAAAAAAAAAATCTCAACAAAGTCAAATAAAATAAATTTCATTATCATGACATACGCACAACTAATATAAATACAACAGTGGCTGTATTAACAATAGTAATAAGTTATATATTAGGAAATATATAAAAATTATTATTATATTCTTTTCATTCATTTTATTGGATCATCATCATCATTTTTTGTCATTGTGGCATATCATAAAATGCTAAAAGTTATGACATTTTGATGAGCAAGAACGAGAAGACTGAGAAATTTAATTCATGAATGGAATAAGGAGATGGAAGGGAGCTGAAATGTGGCAATAGTAGACAGACAAATGGCATTTGATGTTATGTTAGAATGTGACGATTTTGTCAGAAAATTATGAAATTTTAAAAAAATAACCTCTTTTTCAATTTTTCAAATTTTTTGAAACTTTTCAATTTGGTGAATTTTTTCAAATTTTGCCAATTTTATCAGTTTTAAAATTATTTCAATTTTTCAATCTTTTTTAAACTTTTCAAAAAATTTCAAATTTTTTCAAATTTTTCAAATTTTTTCAAATTTTTTCAAATTTTTCAAATTTTTCAAATTTTTTTCAAACTTTTCAAATTTTTTCAAATTTTTTCAAATTTTCAAATTTTTCAAATATTTTCAAATTTTTCAAATTTTTCAAATTTTTTCAAATTTTTCAAATTTTTTCAAATTATTCAAAGTTTATCAAATTTTTCGAAATTTTTCATTGTTGAAAATTTTGAAAATTTCTAAGTCCAGGATAAAAATCCTTAAAAAATCAATTCAGCATCATCTTAAGGACACCATCGTCACAGTTTCATAATTGCGGAATAATTGATGAATATAAATTTCTATCTTTCTGGTTTTATGGTCGCATATCATTATAATTTTATGTCCCTTAAAGTCTTCTTCTCCATACTCGCTGCTCTGGTTTCGATAATATTCTATTGACTTGAAAAGAGACGATTTTCAATCTAATCTTCATAAATTTATTTTCAATATTTTAAAGTAAGTTTGACAAGATGTGGTAAGAAGTAAAGTGATTGTTGAGACTTGTCGATGAAAGGGTCGATTTTTGTGGTACATTTTGGAAGCAAATGTTTGTACAAGAATCGTGACGAGACATAATGGAATATTAGGTTAATAAGGGTTAATAAAAAGTAGTTTTTAGTAGATTTTTGTCAAAATTGTAAAGTTTTTAAATATTTTAGATTGTTTAAAAAATTTGAGATTAAGCATTTGTAATGCCAACTGAACACTGCACCCCCTTCTCCCCCTCAGATTCAAAACATCTTTTTCACATAATAAAGTCCTACAAATAAATTTCGCGTTGGTGATTTTTATTACATTTTAAAGCACAAAACAGATACAAAAAAAATTATTTTATTTCATTTTCATCCGCTTTTTTTCCTTCTTTTTGATTACCTAAAATTTACAAAAGAGACATACATATAATATCAATTTCGACTACTCATATTACCATTTATGATGCTTAGATGTGATCATAAAAATCATTGAAGTGGAATTTATATCGGAATCATTTGGAAATTGTAAAATGTTAAGGAGATATGATATCGGATTGTAATGAAGATGGGTGGGAAGTTAGTTTTGGGTCAGGGATTGTTAAGTCATAAAACGCATTTAGTTGGGATTAGAAAAAGCACTGACCAAAATTAAGTAAAACTGAGTGAAACTGAACAAAACTGAGCAAATCTGAGCAAAAAACTGAGCAAAACTGAGCGAAGCTGAACAAATCTGAGCAAAACTGAAACAAATTGAGCCAAACTTTACAAATCTAAGCAAAAGTCTGAGCGAAACTGAACAAAACTGAGCAAATCTGAGCAAAAAAGTGAGCAAAACTGAACAAAACTGAAACAAATTGAGCCATACTTCACAAATCTGGGCAAAAAACTGAGTGAAACTGAACAAAACTGAGCATTACTAAAGCAAATTGAATCAAACTAAGCAAATCTGAGCAACAAAAAAAATCAGTCCTCATTGAATTAATAAATTTTTTATCCAACCAACTAAGGACGCAGCATCAGTTCCATCTTTTCATTTAAAATAGCGTTATTTATTGTCAAATTTCCATGGTTTTCTCATTTCTTCACCCTTTTCTCCATCACTGCCTCATTCATTGCACATTATCGATGTTTATGTTTACGCATTGATATGTTCACATGTACAACAACATAAATTCTATTCTTGTTCTCAAAAGTTCAGTGCCATAAAACTGCTCAAAATGTCGCATTGATATTTCCGTTGAGGAAATTTTAAGTTTTTTAACTGAATGGATTGAGAAGTAATTTTCATTAAAAGGAGTAATTTATATGAATTTATGTTGCTATCAATTTTCGCTTAAAATATTTCATCGATGACAAAAAAAATATATTTGCGGGGATTTTTATGTTCCTCGTTAATGATAGGAAAATATTGCCGTAATGCACGCTTTTTTTCGCAATAACATTTATCTTGTGTGTTCATACAAATTTTTTTATATTTTATTATTTCGCCTGAAAACCAAAGAGACAAATGAGAGAAAAATTTCCATTCCTCACCCTTCATGCTCAAGAGCAACATCGGCAGTTAAATGAAATAAAAAAATGCTGCATTGCCGATGCTGTTGTTGTTGTTGTTTTGGATGATCTGTCAATGAATTATGCATTCATAAAAATAATTTAAATTTACTTTCGACTTTTTATGTTTTATTTATTGTGCCAACGCATCCCAGACTCGACTGTCTACCCTCGAGAGATTACAATTATCATTATGAAATCGGCGGTAGCATCAATAAATATATATGCACGTTTGATAATGATGGAAAATAATGTTTAAGAGGTTAAGCGTGGCTTGGCAGCAAAAAAAATGTTTGTAACGATTGAGAACATTTTTTTTCTTACCTTAATCAGGATTATTTGATTTTTTAATAATTTTTTGGACCGATATAGCCGTATTTGAATATTTTTGAACCTCCTTGAACAGTTTTTGTATTTATTTGAACCTTTTTGAACTTTCGAAACAAATTTTGATCTCGTTTACTTGATTCACAGCTTTGGACTCTTTCAACCCTAGCTGGACTTGTCTAAACTCTTTCTCTGATCTCGTTGACTTGATTCACAGCTTTGGACTCTTTTAATCCTAGCTGGACTTGTCTAAACTGTTTCTCTGATCTCATTGACTTGTATCACAACTTTGGAGTCATTTAATCCTAGCTGGACTCGTCAAAACTCTTAAACGACTTTCATAAACCCTATTTTAACACATTTTTATTCAGTTTGACCTCCTTGGACACCCCTGAACCCTTACAAGACCTAATTTGAATAATTTGAATTCTTTTGTGCGCACTTTGGACCGACCTGAGTAAGATCAAGTGACAATCTCCCCACAGTAAATCATTCCATCCAATTCAAAAACAGATAACAATCTAAATAAACATGGGAACATCCAGGAAGGGCTTCCATTTATTCTTTAAAAAGTCGTTGATTTTATTAAACAATAAATAATAAACACTCACTTTAAAACGCTGAAATTCGCTCTGCTTCGTTATCGCGTGGTTTTTATGACTTTGTTCTGTATTTTTATGACTTAAAACATTTTTCAACAAAGTGTACTTACTGGCTTTAAAGAAAGTGAATGTAAAAGATGAACTATAAAAATATTATTTTGCGTGAAAATAAAGAAAAGTTTTTTACGAGCGAGAAAAATTCAGTTCCTGGCTTGAATTTGTGATGCTTCAGGATTTTAAAGTTGATGGTTATAAAAAGTTTTATGACTGAAATGTTATGCAATGAATTAATTATGTCAGTGTGTTGCACTTATGTGAATTTTCAAAAATGTTTAAAAAAATATTTTAAAAAGATGAAAAAATGTTAAAATGTGAAAAATATCTACAGATGATAAAGTTCAATCCCATAAC